GGAAAGCCTTTTTAGCGGACCTAATTTCAAAATTTAATCAAAATGTAGTTGGGATTAAGCTACATATTTTCAATTAATGTATTTTATTATTTGTTAAAAAAAGATTAACACAATTTAATTATGCTGTTAGGTAATAATTACTAACATCATATATATTTTACGTAATGTTAAATGAAATCTTATTTAAAAACAAATTTACAATAAATTCGAAGAAGTCTAGAATATTAAGTTAACTAATAATAATCATTCAAAATAATTTATAAATTCAATTATGATTATTTTTTATTGATTTAATAAATCTTATTTTCTTAGGAATATGATCTAGGCCTAGTTGAATTAAATCCTCTACTTATGATTGGTAAGTATATACTTGAAAGGAGCTATAAGCTTATTGGTTAATGAAGATGGTTGTATTTCTACAACTACCAATTTGAGCTCTTTATTTGACGAGGAAATATTATGTCCAGAGTCAGCGTCTGAACAACGGACGCAATACACCAGAGGTTTTTTTTTTACGAATTATCATCTACTTATTCAAAAAATATATGTATATCTTTAAATATTCTAATGATGTTTAAAAAATTTAGGCTCAAATATTTTACATGTATTATCTTATTTTCTTTGGAACGCTCTTAGTTAATTAACTAATTTCTTAAAATTTTGAGCTGTCTTTTATTCAATAAAAATTTATATAAATCTATTTAAAATGATAATATAATGTAATATAATATAATGATTTATTCCATTTAAAACTTCTAAAAATTGTATAAATATTCAAGTTATAATAAAGATGCAGATAATAGTTATATAAATAATTATATAATTTTAAAATTATTTATTATAAAAGCTGAAATTTTATCAAATGATATAAAAAATATTTAATCGTTTATATAAATTTCAATTAAAATGGATAAATTTAATACTACCAAACACATAACAAATTAGATTTTATTACAATACTAATATGACCCCATTGATATGAAAATTGACTTAGGAGCACGACTTATTGCATATTTTGCATAGATTTATCAGCATTTATAACACAATAAACAACCCACCCCTCTTATTTAAAACACATAGTTCTGTAAGCTGAAAATCTAAATCATGCATCCAATTTCATGCGATCCAATAAGCTCTTCCCTTCCACTTTGCTGGCGTACACCATCTTGAAATACTCTTCAAATTGCACGCTCTTATAAATCAGCTTATCTCCTTTCACAATTTCCGGAATTGGTCCCACCACATCACCTACGTTCAGTGTATGAAATCCAGCAATAGATAGCCTCGCCTTCTTATTATTCACCACAACTCTGTGCTCAATGCTCTTATATTTTCCATTGCTTAATATCTGCAGCAATCACATATATACTGATCAGAAATATCAATTTATATTTCTGTCTTGCATAAAAAATTACAAGATTTACATGGATATTGTTTATTTCTTTGTGTATCTGACACGTAAACTTCAATTTCTACATACATATACCACCTTGCTTAGCCTAAAAAAGATGTATTTCAGATGTGATATGAAATAGTTGGCTACGTAGTATAAATGTATAGAAAAGAAAGATTAAGTTTAGGTGATAGATATGTAAATATGTAGGAATTGGGTGGAATTTATGCAAATGATTCTAAATAATCATAGTCATGTTGTTCAAAATTTACTCTTAACTAAGTAACACAGTGCTCATGAAAAAAAAAAATCTTAAGATGATCCAATATCATCAAGAGTTAATTACCTCAATAATGTCTCCAACATTGATGACAAAAGCTCCTGGCAAAGCTTTAACTGGGAGCCATTTACCTTTTCTGTTAATCTGTAGCCCCTGCAGCTCATTCATTTGTAACAATACTGTCAATCCTGTAGCATCAGAGTGAGGAGAGAATCCCAAGACCTTGTCAGGATTTGGGCATGGAGGGTAATAATTGCATTTAACAATCTGAATCCCTCCCTTAAACATATCATACAACTCCTTGAGTCCAAGTCCCAGATTCTTAGATATCATTTTTAGGAGTTCATCGGATAGTCTCTTTATCTCAATTGCATAAGCATCAAATGTCTCCCTGAATAAGTTAAAATTTGTAAAGACACATAAAAACATAGTGTATAAAGATGATAAAAATGAGAGAGATTGTTTAAATAACTAGCACCTGAATGAAGGTGGATTAGTGGGCCAAAGCCGCAATTGTTTCAAATTTGGAGGAAATGTTGCATAGGCAAGTCTGTCTCCCCAGTCTAGCTTTTGTTCCTTTGAGTGAATGAAAGCTTGTCCATAGCCCTCTGTTTGGCCTGGCAGTTGAGCAACTTTCTCCTTCTCTTCTAATGGAAGCTTGAAGAAATCTTCCACAACTTGTTTTACTTTATTTATTACATCTTCAGGTATTCCGTGATTTACTAGCTATTGGTAATTTCAAGTATTTAGCACAATGGTTAAGTGAATTAAACCTAAAAAAATT